CTAACGCTATTGCTTACTAACATTGCTTTGTTCACTTCTATAGGTGGTTGACTGTTGATCATTTTGACTGTATCTGGACATCACTGTTATATTTTGAAAGTTAAAGAGTGGATTACAATCAAATTATTCGTTTTAACTTTGACTGGACATCCTAAGGAAAATGACGTAAGTAATAATTTGTAGTGTAACGAACTTCAAAACATGATGGCATTTAAAATTAGGCGGTGACCATTATTCAGTATGAAGTCGTCAAAGCTGAAAGAGGAGGAGCAAGTTACGCCGAAACATCGATAGTTTTCCTATTTTTCAACACTGCTACACCCAGACGAATACACAATAGATGTAATATGTAATTATTTGTAAGTAAAATAGTTTTCTGTAGCCTATGAATGTAGACCTACAAACATGAATTACACTTCAAAATGATGTTAATATTTACTTTGCAAAAATAATTGTAAGGTGTTTGATAAGGGGTTACATTGTTTAAAATTTTTGTCTTGGTTTTTATGTGTTTACTTATAAAAAGCGTTCTCGTGGTGAACTAACTTCCTATCCAACGAATCATGCTTCGTGTACTAAATATTTAATTATATAAAAATTAATAAACCACACCAGGATATGTAATCCATGAATGATACAAGGAAAGGAGATACAAACATCACATATTCAGTGTTATCAAACGAAACCTAAATTATTCGTAGCAGATTCAGTTCTGTTTATGAATTTTTAAAATATATTGCTTCATAATTGTGCTTACAAAGGAAATAAAAATACATCACTTGCGTAAAATCTGTATAATGTGTTTATTGCAGTTTGTCCCAGACACCAATTGCAGAACTTGAAACTCTTTACGCAGTGCTCTTGATATATTTTCGGTCTGCTGAATTCTTTTTCCTGATAGATTTCTTGTGACATTCCTTAATATACAATAGCATTTTCAATTAGAATAACGCAAAATTATTTAAATACTGCGCAAATAAGGTTACATAATTTTGAAATAAAGTGTAATAATACGAATCATGGAGATACTTCTAATTCTTTTTAATTTAAGGGGGTAAACTTTTGGATGTTTCTGCATTTCTGGTTATATATCAGTGTGATATTCTCTGCTTTTTTTTTTTAAATTCGCTTAGTGGGGGGTGGAGTCCAACTGTGTCCACTCGACACGGCGGCCACTGATCGGCCTATTGTAGCCTGCCCCGGGTGATTATAATGATGGAGAATTTAGTGGAATGAAGATTGGCAAGGGAAACCGAAGTACTCGGAGAAATCCTCCCCCAGCGCCACTTTCTCCACCACAAATCACATTTGACCAGACCAGGGATTGAACCCGGACCGACGAGGTGGGAAGCCAGCGACTAACCGCTTGAGCTATGGCGCGGCCCTTCTCTGCTTGTTACTCAGCAACAAAACCCATATTTAAAATTTTTATAATCTTTGTACGAAGTCTATATTTTAAAATATTATGTATGGAAAATATTTCTTATCTATTCGTCTTACTGGAATAAAACTTTTATCACAATGAAATAACTCGAACTGCAGGGGTTATCTGTGCGACTTCACATTACCATAGCTACATTCCGTCACGATCACTTGGTTATCCGTTTCGAAACGTCTGGATGCGTAATAACATTTCCACATAAAGACTTGGATGGAAAGTCATTATCGAAAGTAGATGTCCACCATTCAAAAATTTAATTCAGGTAATGCGGACAACGCAAGAAAATTCGCCATAAACTCTAAGTGATAATAGACAATTCGACTAGTTGACAACAGAAAGAAGCCCCAATAATTTATAAGTAGTAATAGACAAGCTAGACGGTTAATGAGGCAAGCCCAGTAAGATGTTATCGATATTTTTTGTAAAAATTTTCTTTTTCAAATACTATAAGTTATTATTTTGCAGAGTGAAATTTAAATAATTTTTCTTAACAATTTTCTTTTTCAAATACTATAAATTATTATTTTGCAGAGTGAAATTTAAATAATTTTTCTTCAGTTTAATTTAAAAGTACAGTAGTTAACTTATTACTTTTATGGTTACTGAAGATAAACCACATTGGACACCATATGCACCACATAGGCACATAGATTTATAAAAAATAAAGTCATAATGTGTAAAAAAATTTATAATCTTTGTAAACATAGATATTGTCAACATATCTGCCTTTGCTAACAGAGCATGAAACACACAGTGGAATCCGGCTATTATACAGTTATGTGTGAAACTAGAAACATAGGATCTGCTTTCGTAATTTCTTATTAATTTGTACAATAATGTGTGCGCACGCTATACTTGTGGCAGATTCGGGAAAAAACCAACCGCTTCTCTGCTGTTCAACTTCCCCTGGGTCGTAGTGAAGCTGTTCCGTCAAAGGTTTTCCTTGTCGGCCCGCTACTCTGAAGAGACACCCTGGTGACCGTCCCCAGTAGCAGCCTACCTTAGCAATGGCTCTCGACTTTATTGCGGGATGTTTGGGAGTTAAGTGAAAATATATTAAGAGATTTATTGCTTCACTATTTAATTAATTGTTAGTCTAATTTCTTCATTTCGAAAAAAATAAAAGGAGGCTTATGAGATCACTTTGCTGTCTGTGTATCCATGTGTCTGCGTCTGTATATCCTCCTAATCCCTGAAAGCTGAAACAGTGGAACTAGAAGAGATGGCCATTGCAATGCTGTATAAACACATATATTACATGACGTCTGAAAGCCAGAGGAGTGTACGGTTCTGTTTAATAGCAATTCACCTTCATGGGATAAAGGAGCCGGGATAGCTCAGTCGGTATAGCGACTGGCTACGGGCTGGACCACTGAGGGGTCGGAGTTCGAGTCCCGGTACAATAAAGAATTTTCTCTTCTCCACATAGTCCAGACCGGCTCTGGAGTCCACCCAACCTCCTATCCAAATGATACCGTAGGTTCTTTCCTCGGTGATTAAGCGGCCGCGGCGTGAAGCTGACAACTTCCCTCCAACTAGTGCCGAGGTCAAGAAAATGTGGATCTAGACACCCACTCCCCCATACGCTTTCATAGCGTAGTACTTAATTTGTTAAGCATAGGAACAACTTTGCCTTTTTACCTTTACCTTCATGGGATCAATTTGTAATATGTGGTATGATATTCTTATATAGGAATGTTGAGCAGTGCTGACAGAAACTGGCAACCCATGAACAAGGATTCTCGGGGGGGGGGGGAGAAAAAAAAAGAGAGAGAAAAAAGAAAGAGAATACTATATGAAAAAATATCTAGGGCCTTGAAAACATTTTGATTGTTGGATACAATTTAAATATACTACACGTAATAGTAAGATCACCCGAAAATGTTGAAAAATAACTCTTGCTCTCAGAATGTCTGATCTAGACGCAAAAAGAGGAGAGTCATCTCAGTCTTATTGAAACTAAAGACTTAGCCCCTAGTAGGATTCCAGATGTTATAATTGTTACGTGACTGAATTACTATCTCGTAATAAACAGAGCTGGGCATTCAACATCAACTGAATAAAGTCCAACCACTCAATTCGGTCCTGAGCCATTTCTATGCAGTTGCATCTTCAAAAGCCACTTATCTCAGATCCCTTATACTTATACTACTACTTTCTTCTTCTTCTTCTTCTTCTTCTTCTTCTTCTTCTCTGTCCCCGCTACATGCAACTTTTCGGAAACTGTACCTGATAATGAAAGCATATCCGTTTTCGTAATATCGTGTTTTATACGTAAAACGAACCAAAGATGACAATATCCAGAAAATGAAAAATTATTTTAGGGTCTAATACATCTCTTACAGAAATATTCACAAGTAGTATAAGCCTAATGAAGGGTACAAAACAACTTTTTGAATATCTTTAATGAATAACCCCATAAATAATTAGATGATTTGATTTCAGATCTTCGTTCATTCATACCAGTTTCATCTGTAAATAGGTGAACTACAAATAGCTAAATGTACTCGTTTGTAGCTAATCCACTGAAGGCTGTTTCAATACTGTAGTATAGGTAGTTTGTTGTCAGGATTAGTTGGTTAGTTTTAAAAACGCATGGAAAAGTATCCGTCAGCTGTAGTTAATATAGTTCATAGGTCACCGGCTTGGGTCAAACAAGGTTATCTTATTTTTGTTCGGACATAATTATTAAAGTTATCATTGCAGTTACGAAATATGAAGATACGCCTGCTTCATGTCCCATGAAAATATCGTCCGTGTAGCATAAGGTCAACTTCATGATCCTACCAAAACCACCAGGAATGCTTAATTTTTAGTTTTCGAAGTTTACCAATTTTGTTTTTTTACTAGTAAGTGCATTAAAGATAAAAAAGTAAAGTTGTACATGTGTACACAGAAAAATACCATACACACAAACACCAAACATCGATGCCCTGATTGAGATTCGAGCCCACGATCCCGGCTTCCGAGCGAAAGAAGACAGTGCATGCCTTAGGCCGTTCGGCTACTTTGACCGGCCAACTTTACCATCACTTCGTAGGAAATACGCTACGTCTGGCTAGTGTAACTCAGTGAAACAAAAACTGCTTCGCCTAGTTGTCTTACGAAATGCATAAAACAGCCTATGGGCAAAATACAGGGACATTTGATGTTAAAGCAGGTACAAGTACATATAGTCATATAATCATAACATAAAGATATTACCGATTGCAGACGTAGCAAAACAACGGGCTAACAAGCTGCAGAAACAAACCTTCTGGAATAAGCACACAGCTCTAAACAAGTGGACGACACCCCTTATGAGGTGGAATAAGATTTACAAAAATAATGAAAAATTTGATAGAGAATTTTAATGGATTTTAATTAATAATTTTGTGTTATTTTTAAGTGGACTACAGCGCGCGGTTTTAGCGCACATGAGAGCAGTGTAGCAGTTTAGATATATTAAGACACCTGAAAATGACCATCTATGGCCGAAACATGTTGTGTTAAGTGTTAAATGGTGAATAAACAATTGTTACATTATTGACGGACTGTGGATACACAGACGTTTTAATTATAAAATGTTTGTTCCGACCAAGAACAAAATAAAACAGAAAGAAATTTTATTTATGATATTTTTTTCGAATGCAAGTCTATTTCTTAATTACATGATTGTTGCTTAACGTTCAAAGTGTTATTTTATTTACATATGAACTTCAGAATATATCATTTGTAGTGTAGAAAGTAAGTTTTAATATAAAGTTTAAGATCTAGCGATGTATAGACAAACAAAACTCATTTGAGCATTAATAACGGGCAGATATTTTTAAAATAAACGCGAATACTAGTCATAATACGTATATCAGGGTTGTAAGATGTTTTATTTGTATTTAACAAAATACAATCCTATTAACCACTAATAATTTAATACATATTAAAGATGCCACAATTTAAAATATCTTAAAATGCATTATTTAGTGAACTGATAAGGACAACGCAATAAAATAAGTGGAGAATGAAGCATATTAGGGACCTGTGTGATATGAGAGCAGCTAGGATTCTATTGGGGGGGTGGGGGGGTGGAAGAGCAGACATTTTTTCAAACTTAACTTTCAAACCGTTTAAGAATTTTTTAAGGTTCGCTCTAGAGTTTTATGTTTCCATAACGAAATACAGATGGTGCCACTTTAGAAATGTTTGGTATTGTTTATTTTTCAGCTTTCGTTTTCTCTAAAAAATGGAAGCCGAGAAGATGCCCAGTTTGTCCCCCCAAATCCAATATGAAAGGGGAAATACTGCTGGACCTGCAATCTGGCCACTCACATTCATCAGTTTCGGAGGTTAAGAATGGCTGGATTTAACCTCCGCGACTCATGCGTCTTTTTGTATAATATTTGAGCGTTGTAGCAAATTTAAGGTTACATTCTCATACTTAATGGACAGGGGTACCCTCTGTCGGCACAATTATTGATACTTATCGTCTATAGTTTGTTTTCAAGGGACTATTATTTATTTATTCTTTATAGGTTGTGCGGGCGTGCTGGTTGGACATCCCTTTGACACAATTAAGGTATGTTATCGAAGGAACTTGGTCACTTTATTTAATTTACGGAATGTGGTTTATTGTGTCGGTTAAGAAACAGGCGACTAACATAGATCCTGTGCATTACAGCTCAGGTTTTTGTGCTGTATGTGCAAGTATGCCCGCATGCCAATATCAGTGACAACTCTGTCAAAGGCATGAACCGTCTTTGCTCACTCGAACACTGGGGTCGTGGGTTCGAATCCCACTCGAGACATGGATGTCTGTGCGCGTTTATTCTCTGTCTGTGTTGTTCTGTGTTTAGGTAGCGGCCTTGCTACGGGTTGATCCCCCGTCCAAGGAGACCCATCGACTGTGTATAGATTAAGAAGCTGAGAAAGCGGTCAAGGTCCAAAGGGCTGTAGAGACATAGATAGATAGATAGACAGATAGATAGATAGATAGATAGATAGATAGATAGTTAGATAGATAGATAGATGCCTGCAGATATAAGAATTTTTGCCCGATTTCGTTTTTATTGTAGGAAAAAATTTGAATATCTAACAATAAATTATAAGGAGCTGGCTTTGAGAAAAAAAATATTTCTTTCCTACAGTTTCCAGGGCGCTTCGTTCATCTTTCTTGTCCATAAAATATTCATCACATTTTTATATTTGCTCACAAATATTTCTGCACCTTTATGCATCTTCAATTAAAAACCCGCTTTATTTTTCTCCGGCTGCTTTTCCTCCATAGATATTTGGTCAGATAATTTTCGTATAAATATATATCAACTGTGCTAAATTCACACAGACTTCAGGTATACAGAAGGAAACTTGGCGAGCGAAATTAAAGTCCGAAAAGCTTAAAAAATAAACAAATAAAACAAATGATGGAATTTAACTATTTAGGGGGAAAGTTTTGAGAGAATGAAAGGCAAATATTTGAACTGTAAGTGGAGCCATCCGGATAGAAACTTCAGTAAAACTACGTTCATGAAGAAGAATATGAAATTATAGAAAGCGTCGATTATACTGCGTTAAAAAAACAGACGCGAGACACTGATATGGATCTACAGAGAGAGAACAAGGTTAGAATGATTTACTTAAATTAGAAATTCAATATCCTTGCCCGTGATTGTTTCATTAGATTCATAACGAGAACCCTAAAAGAAGTGAGGAACTTGAGATGGGTATGTAGATTAAGTGAAGGAATTAGTATAAACACAATTCCAATGTGTCCCTTTTCAGCAATTTACGTTCTACGTTACTTTACGCTATGAAATGTAGGACTTTTTAACAAGGCCAGAATGGAAATGTTGCTTTCCATTTTCTGGGTGGATCAAGGTATTACATGATAATCCTTAGCACTGTCACAGGATGACGCCGTTTTTAATAACCCTGGCTGATAATTCAGCAAATTCTGGTAACTCGAGTGACAGTCAAACCGATGCCTGTTTAAGAATTTGGAATATTCGTGTTCAGCACGAATTGCATGACTTACAGCACTGGCTGTGGTACCGTGGTTCGTGTTCGTAGATGTTTAATTCCCATCAATGTCGAATCAACGCGTTAACTTGTCATTTGTATTTATGGACGGATCTCTTTCATCTCTCAACAAACCAATGTGTAAATTTATTTCACAACAATAAGTTACGGTAGGCCTACATATTAGGGATTATTAATGTTCTTCGTACTAGGAACCTGATTGTCTTACGACTGGGTGTCAGTGCCTGAGGTTAGGCCTATGTGAAACAATTACATAAATAATTAATTAATGTACATGGCTGATTAAGGGGAATGGGCTGATGCTGTCGCGACCTATTCAAAATTTCAGTCATGGAGGGATTTTGGAGTCTGCTACAAATTTCTATAAATAATCTTATTTTAATAAAACGTAAAAGTTAAAATGTATTTATGTTCAAATTTTCCTAATTTGATATTGAATATTTGCCGAAATTAGTTGGATATAAGGCTGACATACGTGTATATTATTCTGTATTTACAGGTTCGACTTCAGACGCAAAGTTTTCGGAACCCCCAGTATAAAGGAGCTGTCGACTGTTTCACAAAAATTATAAGAAAAGAATCGGTAAGGCAACTTCCTATGTTTCATTATCATAGATAACCTGTGAGTTTCATCCATTTCCTGGTAACATATTGGTAACATGAGCTTTCGACTAGCCACAAATACAGATCATTTAGAGGTTACTGGTGGTGATCGCCGAATGGCTTGTAATAAATAACGCGTTAAGAACTGAACTAAGAAAAACTTCACCAGTCACACTGGACGGTATAATATTGTGACGGCGTCTTTAGTAACGAAACACGTTACAATATTGTTAGTGTGACGGACCAGATTGAAACAAATAAAAAAATCTTAAATTTAGTCATGATAATGACAATAATTAGCATCGAATGGAGAAGAATGGCGAGCAATCCTGAGGAAGGCCAGGGCTCACAAAGGGCTGTCGTGCCAATGATGATGATGAATTACAATAATTTTCATTATGAACAATTTCTGTTGATACTTGTTACTTGTATGAGAAAATAGAACTATTTCATCGTTTCAAAGGATTTCCCAAACGTCATTTCCCTTCTGGTATTTTTAATTTAGTAAGGATCACCAGTTCGAACTGACAAGAATATTAAACAATTAATAACTACAGCTAATAATCTAACATCATCCAGGTTACTGGATAATAACTTATTATATGGAACAGGGTCATTGTTGGCAGACTGACAGTCAGTCAGCTGATTAGAAAATTTACTGTCCTTTATGGAACCCAAAATTTTCATGAAAGTCTGTCAATACATCAAAGTCCGAGACACTTCCGGACTTTTCATAATCTCCTGGTACTTTACGGCAAGGAGTTGTTAACCTGTCACTTAATCCGGGAGTGGGAGGACAACTCATCAGTTGTCCATGACTGCTTAGTCAATATATTCGAAGCTATCCTCAATATCTGGATGTCCTTTCCTCCATCCGCAAACTTAAAAGGACGTGACACACAATTATTTTATCAATTATGAATCAAATCATCAAAAATACCTCCCCTGTTGTAAAAACCGCCATATTATTTCTTCAAACAATGCAATTCACTATCAAGTCAGAATCGTAATTGGCGGTCCATGACTACATCTAAAAATTTTAACGTCTTCACTTTCATAATACCCTTACAAATTTGTCAGTTTCATTTTCTGCCCTTCGCTGGAGCCTTCGGAAGCAAAAGCAGAGAACCATAACAGGAGCACCGTTTCAAGAGTTACAGCAATGAGCAGACTCTTATGAACAGAATTTACTTAAGCCACCTGACTCTGTAACTGTGCAGGTGGGGGGTCTCTACAAGGGAATGTCCTCACCTATGGCAGGAGTCGCCATGGTGAATGCTGTAGTGTTTGGCGTGTACGGCAACTTCCAGCGCCACTCGCCTCAACCTGACGCCCTCTCGTCCCATTTCCTGGCGGGAGCAGCTGCAGGATTTGTGCAGAGTTTTGTGTGCAGTCCCATGGAGCTGGTGAAAACTAGACTGCAAGTCCAGCAGCACAGTGCTGTCCCTGGAGGTGGCTGCGGCGGTCCAATGAACTGCCTCTCTCAGGTAAAATCGTTATTGTTGCTGTTGTGTCTAAACTATACGCGTTGCCTTGTTTTGTCTTCGGTTTTAGTCAATTTTCCTTATTAAAAAAAGACGGTTTAAGAAATCACCTTGCTGTCTGTGTGTCTGTTCCTCCACCCCCCAAGTTTGTAGGCAACGGCTCAGTAAACGTATTCTAGCGGCAATGAATACAAACGCGACAATGGAAGAAATATTTAATGCGGTGTTTTGTATGCGGTCCGTGTCTTATAAAATAGTAAAATATAGCCGAAGGAAATTAGGCTATTATTCAGAAATGACCGATTAAATGCTAACATTAAACCAACCCCTCGTGAAGCACTAATTAGATCAGTAATGACTTATGCTTGCCCCGCCTGGGAATTTGCGGCAGATACACACCTTTTGAAATTGCAGCGCTGGTAAAACGAGGTTCTCTGCACAACTGGTAAATTTCCAAGTTGCACACCGGTCCGCGAATTGCACGCGACTTTCCAAGTGCAATATATCTACGAATACATAACGAAATTGTGCAGGCAACGAGCAGAGGTCATGCAAAATCATGAAAATACATATGTTCGGATAAGGTTAAACCCAACACAGAAAATACGTGTGGTTTAAACGTGGCGGCAGTCAGGCGCACGACCGTTCAAATGACTAGGCAGCAGCTGTAGCATGAGCTACAAGATCTGCTCTACCAAGCCTAGAGTGACATAGCCCATTGTACTCGTATACACGTATATACTTGTATATTAAGTGGGCACGCGGTAGCTTAGTTAGTTGAGGCGCTATGCTACAAGCCAGAAGGTCTCGGGTTCGATTCCCAATGAGGTTATCAGATTTTTCAACTGACCTAATACTTCCTAATTGTCTAGAAAATGTGTGAGCCTCGACGTCTCACAATCCTATGGATCTCCAGGGTATGTTACAGGGATATCTCTACCTTCTTTACATAATACTAGAGTTACATACATGTAAAACTGTAAATAGTATGTACCCACAAGGAACCGGATAGTTGTCAACTGATTATGTAGAATGCACACACGTAAAATTTCAAATATAAATGGCATGTACTACTGACTATGGGCGCAGTAAATACAGACCCGTCCTCCATTAGCGAGGGCGCCCCCACATCGACAAAGCCGCAATTGTCTGACAGTAACAAAAATCTGGTTTTGGGGCTGCAGATGGGGCTTGACGCCAAGACTGACTGACCTACTGACTGTCGATCGTAAGGTGACTTCGAATTTGAGCAGAGATTAGTTCTTCCCACAACGTCTTATTCTGTATGTGTTCGTATTATTTGCCTCTTTGATAGTGCTTAGCTTACAACTGCCCTTTGCGCTGCTGAGTAACCAGGCAAATAAAGAATTGAACTCAATTACTGTGGAACTTCTAGATGTCCTGTGTATCCTCCAATCACGACTCCTCTGCTACTTGTGCCCTTCTTATTAATTGAGTTTATGCATTTGTCGGTATTAAGTAAACTTCGTTTTAATTGAAATTTCATAATAGAAATTTATACGCTGAATTAAATTCAATAGCGTTACTGCATTACATGTTCTTATTAGCATTCCTACAGCATATTCAGAACCGTAATATTGTATGTGGAGCCGGGGTAGCTCATTCGGTACAGCAATGGGCTACGGGCTGGACGACCGAGGCAACGGGTTCGATTCCCGGCAGGAAAAATAGATTTTCTCTTCTCCCAGTGTCCAGACCGGCTTTGAGGCCCATCCAGCCTCCTATCCAATGGGTAGTGGGAGGTGTTTGCCTGAGGTAAAACAGCCGGGACGTGAAGCTGGTCACTCATTTTCATCTAGTGCCAAGGATAAAAATGGCGGAGAATGAGTCTTCATGGCGCAGTGTATAGCTAATCAAGCAGAGGGACAACTTTGCTTTTAATATTGTGTATTGTGATGCGGCTATCCAATGGATGTTGGAATTAATACAAGTCGTATATCATTACATTTAAAGTTGATGTTGCCAAAATAGACCATTTATTTCCAGAAAATTCCCCAGGCAATATATTGTTTTAAGTTATTGTTCTCAGCTGTTTATGTCCTGACTGAAAGTGAACATGCAATATGTCTACGATACTGATCACAGTATGTGGTCCACAGGTGGTAAAAACTGAAGGATTTCGCGGCGTATTCAGAGGCCTTGGTACTACAATATGCCGAGAGGTGCCTGGATTCGGTCTCTATTTCGTTGCTTACGAATTCATGACGAGATCAGCTGGAGACCTCAGTGAGCCCAGACCTCCAGTCGGCACACTCCGCATGCTGCTGGCTGGCGGTTTCAGTGGTACCCTGTCCTGGGTGCTCACATATCCGATAGACGTCGTCAAGTCTCGTCTTCAGGTTGATGGGATGGGCGGCGTTTACAGATATAGTGGGTTCATGGACTGCTTGAAGAAGAGCATTCAAACTGAAGGCTATGGAGTTATGACGCGAGGTCTTACGTCCACTATCTTGAGAGCGTTTCCAACAAACGCCGCAACATTCACTGTTGTCACATGGGTCATCCGGTGGACCGACGCCAAGCAAGCTGAAAATACTTCGGGATATGTAATTGAAGAGTTAGTGGACCTCACAGTGCCTGAAATGTCTATGACCCAAAAAAGATATAAAAGATCTAATGATGACGCAAGGCTCGAAATTACAGTTTTTGGGCTTTGGGAAAGTTTGGAATATAAAGAAAAAGATATGAATAATATTTTTCAATGGAGGAAAAGAATACTGCAAAATATTATGGGAAGTAACATTTTCTGCAGTGAGCAGCTGATGCCTAAATACAATCCAGTCATTTCTTCCGATAAGGGACAGAGAAGTCGGGATTTATTTTGTGACAAAATTAAGGAAGATCCTTGTCTAGAGTTTCAGTTATTTCAAGGGAATAAAAGTAGCCGTATGGACAGAGAGGAAGTTCAAGATGGTTCAGAAGATCAAGACGGAGCAATCTCTCAGAAACAAACCACAGACTCAAATACTGAGAAAGAGCCGAACCATTACGAACATAAAAACGATTATTATAATTCTTCAGTAAGGTAACTGCACAGCTGGTATAAACGCCTTCATCCTAACTCAATGAAGAGTGTTGTAGGCTAGATTTGGTTCTAAACAAAAAAGAGCCAATAGAGCTCGGCGTTATTCTTAAGGACGCATCCATCGTTTGGAGCAATGAAGGTCTTGAGGACAGGTAAATACACAAACCACGAGCAGGACCTTGCAGGAAGAGTACTGTAACACATCCTTAGAGAATTTAAGCATCTTGTTTGATGGTAGAATAAAATAAAATATTAATGGCCTAGTTGATGCTGGCGGAAACAACTAATGTAATGGGGTTTTAAGACAATTTAAGAGATATGGAACTACAAACGAAAATACAGAATAAATAAATAAATTATGAATTACTAGTAATATGGAATATTAAAAGTTTTATTTGTAGCGCTTTAATTACTGAAGTATGAGTGTTCAGATTAGTGTGTAACTCCTTATTGAGATGAATTGTAACGGAGTTAGAACCTAAGGCTTGGTAATGCACTCAGTTTTAAACTTATGCGTGATCGAATGCTGCTTCTGGCATGTAGAAATCTGTTGACACTGATCCAAATACGAATTAAAGTGACAAATATAATTGAAATGTATTAAGTAATATAAGTGACATACACACATGGATGCTCTAGCCTTTGATGGCATAATTATGACAATCTGAAATAAAATAACATCATATTATCCTTCATTACTGCAAGAAGTACGAGTAAGTGTGAGAGGGGCCGCGCCATAGCTCAAGCGGTTAGTCGCTGGCTTCCCACCGCGGCGGCCTGGGTTCGATCTCGGGTCTGGTCAAGTGGGATTTGTAGTGGACAAAGTGGCGCTGGGGCCAGTTTTCTCTGAGTACTTCGGTTTCCTCTGCCAATATACATTCCTCCAAATTCTCCATCACCATAATCACCCGGGGCAGGCTACAATAGGCCAATCAGTGACCGCCGTGCCGAGTGGACCCAATTGGACTCCACCCCCCACTAAGCGAATTTAAAAAAAAAGTGTGGGAGAGAATTAATGTGATTTCATACCACTCAATAAAGACTAAAGGATACTAGACAAGCTGGAATTATTGCCTCCAAGTAGAACATGCTGCCTAGCAACATATTTTATTATATCAAATTTGTTTTACATTGATATATTATGTGATTTATATCTGTAATCACTCAAATATAGTATTCCAGAATGCTTATACTGTGTCAAGCAATTCCTAATGCTCTACCTTATACAGTTTTTCAGAGATTACTTTTCTGATTCATACGCTTAAAAATATAGACATATATGGAAAAAAACGTAATTTTGTTTCAGAGTAAGTCGTATTGTAAATCGGGCATGTTCAAGATGCAATGACTAGAATTAAGTTATTTTTAATACTTTTTAATAGATGTGTATGTTTTTAAATATTAGGTCTTGGGTGGACTAAGAATAATTATTTTAATTGCTAATATGAGTCATTTTCTAAGTTGAATGTGGAATTGACAACAATTTATGACAGTGTTCGTCTGAAAATGTTGAGTGGATGATCACTCTGTTAAAGACTTTATTAAAAAGGCGAGTTTACACAACTTGCATGAGGGGTACAGTCTTCCGTGACGTATCGCCATGTAGTTCGTTGAAAGTTAGCAGGCGTTTCGGAGGAACATTACCTCCATCATCAGGGCCGAACAAGTCCAGCAAAATACCAGAGCGAAAGTAGGTGGCAAGCCGGTTGATTGACTTTCAACGGACTACACGGTATTGTACCCCAGAAGAAATAACTTTTCATAATCACCGCTGTGAGAAACTCAAGTCTTATGCCTTATATGAAATTTGAAGTTCTCACGGTGGTGAGCGTTGATTTCTGGTTTCCGTGACGCCATGTAATTTGATAGATACGTACCAACATTCCGGGCTAACTTCCTCTCTCTGACTTCAGTTTAAACCCTGAAGATGGGTGTAGTACTTTCCTCCAAAACGTTCGCATTGATCTATAAAACTACGTGTCGTCATGTACCAGAAGGTCGTGATTTTACGCAGATTCTTTTGTTTCATCTGTCCGTTTATTAACACGTATTTCACTGAAACATAAATGAATTTAGAATATATTTTTTTTATTTTGAAGTACAGAAGTTGCAAATGTAACATATTCTTTCATATGGCTGTATAGTGTGAAAGTCTATGGAATGTACTGAATATCGTAAACATTTTGTTTATTAATATTCAGTTAGCACGATATGACGCTACAGTATAATAATCATAATATGTATTTCTGTAACTTACCATTGTGTCAAAGTTCTGCCTTTATCAGAAATAAATTAATGTCTATGTATACAGGAGGAACCCATGTTAGGTTGATCGTATATGTACGTATATACATACATACATACATACGTACATACTGTCATAACTAATGTTATATGACTATAGATGGGGTTTTGGATTGGAGGACTGGATATATTGTGCCCGTACACTCAGCTCGGAACTACAGTGTATGTACAAGTAATACACCGCTTGGTTACGAGACAGTAACATGTACTTAGTTTTCTCTGTGTTTGCTTCTAGACCAACCTCTTTACTTGCGTCAATTACAGTTTGTGTGTTGGATGTACAAATTAACGGTGGTTTCCCATGAAGTTTCCAAAATTTCCTTCATCTCTTACTCCTAACTGTAGCTAAATGAAACGAGCCGGGATAGCGTAGTCGGTATAGCGACTGGCTACGGGCTGGACGGTCGAGAGTTCAGAGTTCGAGTCTCGGTAGGGGCAAGATTTTTCTCCTCTCCACAGCGTCCAGACCGGTTCTGGGGCCTACCAAGCCTCCTAACCAATAGATATCGGGGGTTCTTTCCCAGTGGGTAAAGCGGCTGGTTCGTGAAGCTGACCACTGACCTCCAACTAGTGCCGAGGTCAAGAATACGTGGAACTATACATCCACTCCCCCATATTTCTTCATGGTGTGGCGTTTAATTGGTTAAGCACAGGAACAACTTTACCTTTTTAGCTGAATGGAAATTAGTTAAAATGAAGTGGACATGCTGCCACACATCCAACAGTTATGAATTGCTGATCATCACATCCTGATGATACTCGCCACAATTCAACCAGCAGCAACCTTCCATCATCAGCGGATTTACTATAAACATGCTATAGATCTGACGTGTTCAAAAATTTGTATACTGTATTATAATAGGAAAGGAGCTTTAAATTTGAAAACATATTGGGAGGAAATTACTCCCTGCTCACGCTTCTACATAATAAAATGTTAGTTGCCCTGACGCCTACACCCCTCTGCGCTCTCTACCCACTAGTATGTTCTGTAATGTCTGGGGGTGCATAGGAACATGTTCTGCTATACAGTGCAATACTCTTCCTAGGATTCATGGTTTGAAAACTGCCTCTTGACCTCAGTATAGATAATTCAACAAGTTATTAATATATCCATCTGCTATAAAATAGTCTCTCCAGAATATGCAATTTCCATGCTATACACCCAACAGATTAATTTTGAATTTTGATATAAATAAAACTTAAAAGAACTTCAGAAGCGTTGCTGTGAAAATCACATAAAGAACATTTCTAATTAATAACTCTTTATTCAGTTCTTCTTGACGAACTGAAGAAAGTCGCTGAACTGAATAGAGATATCCTTTGACCCTGTGTGAGCTGGTTATCTCTGAAATAGGAATCATACTGAGGTAAGTATAGGGGGCACGCAGTAGCGTAGTGGAACCGCGGAATTATAAAACTACACAAGCTATGCAACATTGCGCAACCCTCTATTCGGCTTATAGTCTATTGCACAATATAATGCGTAATAATATATTTCATTTCACAAATTAAAAAATTAATTAAACCATACAAAATACAATAGTTAGTTACCACCTAAATATGGCCGCGCCATAGCTCAAGCGGTTAATAGCTGGCTTCCCAACGCGGCGGCCCGGGTTCGATCCAGGGTCTGGTCAATTGGGATTTGTGGTGGACAAATTGGCGCTGGGGCGGGTTTTCTCCGAGTACTTCGGTTTCCCCTGCCAATCTTCATTTCACCAAATTCTCCATCATCATAATCACCCGGGGCAGGCTACAATAGGCCAATCAGTGGCCGCCGTGCCGAGTGGACCCAGTTGGACTCCACCCCCCACTAAGCGAATTAAGAAACAAAATTAATTACCACCTCAATAATTGTATACATAAATCTGGCGAAGTATGTTACCAGGAGGAGTAAATGGTTATAGTAAACCACCACGCCTTCCCTGAGTTCTAATTTGTTTACTCGTTAGTTTTAATTTGACTTATACGTAATATTCATAACGCTTATTACAATGTAATTAAATTACGTTACGTTATAATTTGACTTATACGTAATATTCATAACGCTTATTACAATGTTATTAAATTACGTTACGTTATATGAAGAGCTTATGATAAAGTACTGCTTTTCGCAAAAGGCTGACAACCTCACCGCCATCTGCGACTGTCTAGAAAATGTGGGAGCCTCGACGACTCACAACGCTACGGACCTCCACGGCCTATTGCAGGGATAATTTCTGATAAAGTTCATTCGCAATAAAAATTAGTTTGTCGAGAAATAGCCATAGACCAAAGTACGTACCACACTTGTAGAGTTAAATGAATCAAGAACGAAATTTTGTGTTCCGTCTTGTGAATTCAGAAATTGGTTAGAATACATTTTATTTCTTCATTTTAAATGTTCTGGAAAGAGAGATATTTTGAGGCTTCATCAGAGTAAAATATAATTCTAACCTATTTCGCTCATTACCGACTGCAAAACAAACAAACTCGGTGGCTTGAGTTCGCAAGCGAACTATACCGACTGAGCGAACGCCGCTTCTCGGCGAAGTTAGTGCCAGATTTAGCGGATAGAGGGTGTAGAGTGGTCAGCGCAACGAATCACCACGGCCGTTAATTTCGGTTTTCTAGACTGGAGCCACTATTTCCTTGAAATTGCTCCCCAATTATCCTCACGAGGCTGAGTGGACTCCTTTCCAGACAAAGTACTTCTCAGAAAATCTGGTAGCCCCGGGAATTGAACCCGTACTTCTGGATTTGTAGTCAGGAACTCTGACCACTAGACCACAGAGGCGGTCCATTACCGACTACAATTATAGTAAATTGTTTTTTTTTTCTGTGGCGCTACAGCCCCAATTTGGGCCTAGGCCTACCTCCATGAAACTCTCCGTTTCACTTCGGTTTACTAGATCTTACACATTCGGTAGGACTCCTTGGGCGAGTGATCAGCTCGTCGCAAGGCCTCTACCTGTAGACAAACACAGAAAAACGCACACAAACATCCATGCCCTGAGTGGGATTCGAATCCATGATGCCGGCTTCCGAGCGAGCGAAGGCACTGCATGCCTTAGACCGCTCGGCTACCGT